GTCTGGTAGCTGGGGGATATTTACGTTTACGTCTATAATAAAAGTGATACAAACCGTTATGAGCTTTTTTTAACTTTTACGTTAGAGTCCAGACCTGGTATTTTTCGTCTCCGTTGTGTACATATTGTATATTAGGTGTGTAAATGATTATTATTATGTAATAGATTAATGTTTTCGGGGGGAAATGATAGGCATTGTATTGACCCCTTGGATTGTTATATTTATCCCAGGACAATTATTTTATCTTGCAGATGATATAAAAGTCATCAAATTGTTTAGTTTCAACCAGATGATTTATTTTTTATTTGGAAATTAGTTTAACTTATCATAATTTTATGACTATGATCGTTTCACAACTTCTCAGAGTCAATGCTTCGTGAACCACATAGATCTTTCAAAATTGTTACCTACTCCTACATAAAAACATATTGACTCTGTATGAAGCAGACATCCCATCTATATGGACCAGCTGCAAATCATTTGCTGAAAATAAACATAGTTAAATGAGCCACTTGCTGAGTCCACTTCAGAAAAAAGTGTTTTGTCACTTATTTTTAGGTGATGTGATAGTTGATTGACGTTACAGAAGTTATCCTATCACTGATAGATCGGTAAAACAGCGGTGGGAATCAAATGCCCAGGTATATCTTTTAGGAAAATGTTTAACAAATGATTACGGATTGAGATCAAACTGTTATATTTCCCTAAGTATTTTTTGTTCCACATTATACGTAAGCTATCTCGCCGCTACAGTATAGCCACACCGAGCCCCGCCTAGAGTTGATTAACAGGCCAACTAACACTACTAGAACCACACGCAACCGTCACCAGATAAAATATAAACACAGTGTTAAGCTCGACATAAATCTTTGTTTTTGGAAAGACTGAAAGTAATAGCCTCGCCCTTGAAACACCTGCGCGGATGCGTCCAAGGGCGCATTTACATAGCAAAGTCGGCTTCTGCTTAATAACAGATTTATGCGAATGAATCAGTGGTATCAATCCACTATTATATATGTAACACGGAACACGCAGATCCCGCGACAGGCCTCCAAGCCACATCATTCATTACCTACGTATTAATGAGCGCGATTGAGACAGATTATCCTTGATTTATCGCCCCCCTTTCCCGGGCTGCTTTTGGTATAATTGTTTAGGAAATCGTTTTTGATCGCTTCTGTGGGTGGCCGAGAAATCCTCTCAGTTTTTGGACTTCTACGAATTTGGAATGATTGGCAGATTATGAATTGGGTTTCAAATTAAGTCGTGTAAGTTGATGTCTGTAGTTTAGTCCGAGAAGTAGGCTGAATGCCAGTGCATTGACTCATAACCAGTCAACCATGCAGCAATTATATGAAACTAAATCAAACCAATAACTAATATAGTACTTTTGAATTAGACTACAACATGTATGGTTTATCTTTTGTCTAAATATACGTAAGCACTTCATCTTTGTTACGCGTTTACTTAATTAAATAATATATTTTCCAATAAAATAGATTATAACCTTGGTAGATACATCAACAATATGTATCTAACAAAATATTTGATCCATCTGTAGTAAACATAGCATAACCACCGACCTTTGTATGCTGTTGTATTCACCAATAGCCAGAGGCATATAACTCAACATGGGTCTTCAAAATCATATCCCACATCCACTATATTACCGTGGTAAAGAACGCTTTTGCCCATTGTACTCAGGTTCTTTGTCGGAGGTTTCAGAGGCAATTAACTCTAAAACGCGACCGCATTCGCAGCTCCAGAGATGCATTAACAGTTTATTGACAAGAGCTTTGATGGCGCCGAATCGTCCGGACACGTTTGTAAGATAATTACGTTTTACAAGCTACACCGAGGCTTTTAACTTTGCCAATTTGGCCCAATAAAACCCGCCAGTCTCTTGTGCTCGTGAAAATAAAAAATAAACCATTCGTTCTGTACGACTTATCTGTTGGCGTTGTCCGGAGACGTCGTTAAAATAGCTGATAATTAATACATAAAAGTGTTTTGAAACATAAATATCTAATTTTAAAATACTGACCAAATATTTTAGTCGTGGACTAAGTGGGTTTCTGAAAGATTTATATGAATGACAAAGAGAGAAAACATCAGTCGTTATCTTGTTACTATCCAGTACTCTTCGAAAGTTTATTTGAATCACAATTTGTGTATAAAACCATGCTGTACTACCTCAAGTCGAATGCATCAATTTTCCATTGTTATAAACAATTTCCTTCGTCCAAAATGTTGTTTATAGTCAATGCCTCTTAACTCACCAACATATTGCAAATGTTCTGAGAACGGTCCATCAAGATATTCAAAATATAAAACTATGTAATTCAAGTCGAGAAACGAGAAAATAAAAATCCAGATATAAATTTTTAACATTGAAAGCCCAAAAACTTTAGACTCTTTACGAGAAGAAAGTGACAAGAAATTAATAGATGTCATATTTCCATGTAAACTAATAACGAATAATACTAGTGAAATAAATAGTTATTTGTGCAACTAGTGAGAAAAGTGAGCAATTGACTCACTCGAGAGAAATCCTTACTCACGAGCCGTAGGCGAGTGAGGAATGGTTTCTCGAGTGAGGCAATTGTACTTTGAACACGAGTTGCATATTATACTTTTCCTACAGTTACCATAAAACAAATAAATTGGTGACTACATAACCTATTTTTACACAGAAGTGAACTTTTAATATAACATTTAATCAATTTAATGTGAAGTGACAAATACAACAGTACAACAGCTGACCAGCTGATTTACAGCCAGTGCTGCCAACGTATTTCGCGCGCATACGACGTTGCCTGCATGTTACGCGCTCACTATTTCGTGCCTTCACGTTGCAAATCTGGAGTGAGACAAAGTAATTAGAGTGAGACAATGTTAACATTGTCTCACTGATGAGCGAATTGGCCACTTTGCTTTCTCAAATCAGTGAGAGAACATGTACATTGTTAGGTAACTGTAGGAAAAGAGATTTTCCAACACTAGACTAAACATTATACACAATTACAATAATAACAACACTATTTTGATAAATTCATACAATTTCGACTAGTCACACCCGATCACCATCAGGACCAATCCGTTTGATATTAAATATTAAAATTTTAAAAAGAGCTCAACAACTAAAGTCTGGGTGTAACGATTTTGTTATGGTAAGCCTGGCTTAATTAATTTAAATAAGCTGATTTTAAAACATTTTCCTTATTTTGTAGTTGGCAAGTTGGCAGCGCTGGTGACGGCGTTAGCAGAATCAATGAAGTGGAGAGAACCGGTCCAGAGTGTCCTGATCTTCACAACAGCACGAGTCCTGCGCCAGGATCAGGCAAATAAACTGTGTGCAACAATGACTCCGTACACCCAAGGGTTACAGTCAGTATTTCGTCAATATATTCGAAAATTTCACCTGGTTAAGTAGGGGTTATCTCCCTTACGTTTATTGTTCGTATATTTTCAAGGTTTCATATGGTGATGTCATGGGTCATGGAAGAGACGCCGTCAGTAAAACGTTCGTTCAAGTTCCCGAGAATGAGCGAATCGTCTCTTGAAAAGAGTGTTTCAAATATCTAGTACAAGCTGCATTGTTGCACTACATACATAGGGCGAATCACAACCGTAGGATAAGCTGGTAAATTATTTTTTGCTCTTGTACTCGATTCATAAAAGGTCGCCAGTTCGATGCTGAAAAAGTTAGTAGCATGTTGATCAATCGAAACTTCAGTAGCATGTTGATCAATCGAAACTTGAACCTAGCTATTATTGATCATTGTCCCTTAGCAATATTGACCAGAACAATGCCTGATTTTTGTTAGTAACAAAGGAACACGGATAATTTACACGTGTTTTACTCTTATCCTGCATTAATCGTTTGCTTGAAAACATTCTCAATAATAACGTTGAGAAAGTGATCTTAACCAAGTTTTAACGTATGGTCACGAAGATTCAGTTTAAATGGAGTCACACGGATACACACTTTGCTGGAAAAATCCTTTATGAATAGCCTAATAAACAATATGAACCATACTAATACCATCACATTGTTTAAAAGTTTGTTTTACAAGCTAAAAAGGTTCAAGAATTTTATGTTAATTAGGTGTCCATAATATTACAACCCAGATCTAAATGGGTTACTTTTGAATCTGAAAAAGCTACTACGTTGGAAGACCAGGTCATTCATACATTTTAACGAAAATTTATTTTCTTCAATGACAAAATAATATTATTCAGCAATACTTAACATATTTCTTGAGACCCAACATCAACGGATAACCTCGATATAAGAGCAGACCGCCACACTCGGAGTCGGTCACAGTTTACCGCACGAGATCTTGCCGTTGACACGACCTCCCCCTCTAATAACACAGTATTAAATGTTACATGCAGCCTCTTGGTCTGATTATTGTAATTGCTCGCCTCAGGCCATCTTTGGCTTAATGTAATTACCCGACATTATTACATTAAGCCACAGTACGTGTAATGCGCTATGCTGCAGCTGCTTGATAAGTGGGTCGCGTTTCTTAAGTGCTTTCACCAGCTTTATTGGTATATGGCATTTTACAAGTTGGAAATTCCTTAGGAAGTGCTGACGCTTGTACATTGGTAAATCGGATGGCACTTTATTGGAGGCCTATTTACATTTGGTGGTTTGTGTCGTATGCGGATTAATATATTAGTACAGTTTAGTTTAAATTTTGGCTTGGCTTTTAGTGGGAAGGGGTCTTATCATATAGCGTTTTATCGCCAAGAATCTTAATTTACCATACATAAATGGATTTAAGTTTAAAATGTGATGTGAGCTCCATTGACCATTGAAGACTGGCGGAATAAAAACATTGGGCTTACATGATAAAATTACTGATCTTAACTAGCGGGACCTTTGTAACAAGTTTTTTTATAAGAAACACCAATATATTAATACTTATAGATATATGTTCCAAACACCGTTAATTAACACAAAGTGACATATAGTAAAACTTGAAGCTTACCATTTTTATCCGGCTCAGAGGAACGTCTTCTCCATCAGTTCTGAAAATATAAACAGAATTAGAATTCAATATGAAACATAGAGTTCATAGAAGCTTAAACTATTCGTATGGAAACCTTACATAGCCTACGATAAAATATTTGAAAATGCATAACATTTGTTATTCTAAATAAATGTAGTAATCCACGTAAAAAGTTGTATCTGTCAAACAATATCTTCTCCCATACACCAGAGCTTCTTACTTCCACAATAGATAGTTCTAAAACCCATTTGATATCACTGCAGCTACCTGTAGGAAAAAGTCACAAATTTACGAAATATCAAACCTAATAATCTAGGTACTTTTAACATAACCGAATAAAAATGAACTGCTTATGAGAGCTTGAGGAAGCAATAAAGGCAGAAACGTTTAGGGTGTGGAAGCGTGGAATCGCCCAAACCCCTAATGACGGCTGCAGGCGGCCTTGGTCCCGCAGTAAAGCAGTGATGGTCCCAGTGGTCCCATAAACACAGCTTGTCATTCAGGGCTGGGCAGACATCGAACACTGACCGAGGCCAACCTTGTACTCAGACTTCATATGCTAATTATTGTAATGCATTCCTCGGCTCGTCCTCTGCCTGAGGCACCCTCCATTATCATCCCTGTTCCTCCTTCTTTACTGTTATTCGTTCCTGATGCAAATTGCAGACTCGTTCATTAGCTAGCAGATCTGCGAAGGCTGGCTGTTGCATTGGGTCATGGAAGAGACGCAGTCAGTAAACCCGTTCGTTCAAGTCTCTGGATGAATGAGCGAATCGTATCTTGAAAAGTTGTTTTAATACGACAACTGGACTGTTTGTTACTGGAATCATTGACTATATAACACTACTGGAATGTTACTGTTTTGGGTGGATTGCGTCGTGGAAGACACATCACTAGTAAACCCTTTCGTTTAAGTCTCCGGATGAATGAGCGAATCTTGGAGATTAGAGTGGTTTTAATTGCTTACGGCTTTGGGAGTGAAACAACTAGTCGTTAACACTATTTACGTGAGCTGCGTACACTACTTTACATGCGACAGTGTTTTAGACACTAAAAACCACTACTCATAACTTCTAGGAGAGGTTTTGTTTTCGTTTATAATCTCTCATTACCACTAATAGTAATGCAAAGAAACAGTGTACCAAACACTAATTGCACCACTCAACAATTAAATTTGCCTGACCAGCTGATTAGTTGAAGTTTGAATCATTACAATTTTATCTCTTATCTCGTAATCCTTGAACCTCATTGGTCTGTTACCCGTGTTGTTATGTTTAAGTGTTACGATTTCTGTGTTTCTTTAGTATAGGAATGTGCCTGGATTATTCAAAGTATAATAATGTTATATTCTTTGACTGCTATAGAATAATGATTACAGAATGTGACAGCCTATATAACAATGTCTGTAAAATTGAATACGTATATCAAAGTATTGGGCACTTGGAAAAGTTTGCATAGGGCGATGAAGCTACTTCTCATGGGATAGGCCTACTGCAATTAGTCCAACAAATCAACTTTAAATTTTAAAATTTATGGCAATTGTTCATAAACAAGTTAATGCGATCAGTTCGATACGTTCCCTTCAATCCTAGCCCATAACGTAACATTACCTCAGACTTGAATCTGACAACACTGCACGACTGGTTACACTTAGCGGCGTGTTCACTGCAGAATTGAACCCTGAGGCCTTCGAGCGCATAAACAAGGAGGATCACGTAGTCTGGTCGCCGATTTATCCCGTGTTGAACATAAAGTATAAAACCCGCCAATAATTTGCGTGGAGCCTGGCTTCCCGCCAGATCTCGAAGGTGTCGTTCGTTACGGGAAATGATCGTCTACCAGTGGCGACACTGCACAGAGGATTATGGGGGATTCCACCACTAAACTGGTAATGTTTACTGTAAAGAGGCGTCTCGCTCAGGAATAGCATTAAAGATGCACTCTACGTTACTTTTACTTAGATTAAGTCTTCGGGATTATTTCAAATCATTCTTAATCAACTAGTTATTACTATACAGGGCTTTAGTGATTTAGGTTAGACTTATTTCATTGAAATAATAAGTATACGGTGAACTTCGGAATAAGGTGGGTAAGCCAATGTACCCCAACAGCAAAATGCACTCGATGAAAAGTCATTGATATAACTGTAATCCTGAAACCTGAAGTGGCAAGTTACTCATCCAACTCAGAGGTCAATCATTAAGTTACTCAACGGGACAGATTGGCAAATATGTGCTAAAACCACATTTAAATCGTAAACATTTCTGTCAGTGTGAAATAAGATCATTAACTTAACACAGGGAGTGCACGTTGTAGCGTCTCAGCATGTGTGATAATGGTACTCTAATACACCTACTCCAACACACTCTGATTGAAACTCAAGAAACTTTGCCACTACTTTAAAGTAGAGTATTGATATTATAAACTAACATGTTAGATGTTCCTCAATCCAATACCATACGTCTGTGGTCTTCAAAACTTTTAATTTCAATCAGAAATGCAAGAGAAGCAGTTCATAAATCAAGAGAGTTTGAACATCCGTAAATAAACCCGTCTGCTTGTAAGGAGGTCCAGGGTTTAATCGCCATATAATTGGCCACTTGTCGGGTTCAAGCCACACCTGCTTTCCCCTGTGCAGCTTTCTGGGTCATCACGCTGATAAATTTACCGACGCATTCCACTGGTCTCAGTAGGCACTTTCCCCTCGTAGTCGTCCTCTCCGATGACCACGACTCTTCTTAGTGTTTCCTGGTAGAGATATAAACCCAGTGATTCCTGGTCTTGTTCTGCTCTTTCCGGTAGGATAGATATTTCTTTCCCACTGTTTCCTGTACGAGGTGAGGTCACTATCAAACCTAGGTACTTCAGAGCTCTAGGTAGAGTGCCCTCGCACCCCTAATTTTCAAAAACACCTTTCTGGTATTTTCTGTAAAATTTATAGGACCCTTCCTTATGTTTCTTGTAGGATATGTAAAAACTCACATCGTCAAAGTTTCCTTGAAAAATAGGAGAGCATTCATACTCGTCCGTAGTCTCAAAGTTACGATAATGTTTTCGGGTAGTTCCTGTATGACAAAAGGGATACTTCACTCCTGATATTTCCTGTAGGAAGAGTGGATATCCACAAACGTATGAATTTGTATTCCTGGGGTTTCGTGTTTGATATGTAGACACTTCGACCACAGTGTTTCGCAAAATATTCGTTCTGTAGGAGTTTTTACTATTCATTCCGTAGTATGATATCGTAGTTTATCTTGCACCATGGCAATTTATTTCTGGTGTTCAATTTCAGTTCTGTAGGAGAATGGTTATGGTGTCAGTAATAATTACAAGAACTGTTTGCTCAACCATGCTACACGCATTTTCTACACACATCAAAGTATAAAATCGTGTGAGTGTTTAAAATCTGGGTCACCTCTTATATATTGGAGTATATGCACTGTTTACTGCACCATTATTCAACCACACAAATCCCAGCATTACACATATTTCACAAAATATCTCCACACAACCCGTTTTCAGTCCACGATAAATGCTTCCAAATCCAAATACAGTCAGTCCAGTCCAATCAGAAGTGCCATAAACACGACTCGCTCGTACTTCTCATTATCGGAGCGGAGCGAGTGGGTTACAAGCGATATTTCGCCCACCCAAAGCCTCCTTTCACCTCTGGCTCCTTCGTCAAACTTTTATCACTTCTTTATAATTTATCGGGCACTCCAGTAGACGCTCGTTTTAGAGCGAGCAAAAACGTAAAATAAGTTTGACTTGAAGGAGTGACGCCAGTTACGACACTGGTAATGGCGATGGAGACTGAAAATATCGTAAATTAGACGCATTTTTCTTGGTAATGAAAATATTTATCGTTGTGGTTGGGCTTTTATGTGGTTCTCGCAAAAAGGTCTTAGACCGTAATTCGCTACGGTAGCCGGCTGAACCGGTCATACGGTCGTAGGTTATTAGTGTTTCGTCACGCCAAATCAAATTTATTTGATGACAGCTGCTTAGTATAATTTTAATCTAAATTAAATCAGGGTAGCTAGAAAAGTAGCCTTATAATGTAGAAAAAAAAGCGTAAGTATATGTTGTTCAGTACATTCATCTTTAGGACGGTTTCAGATGAAACAATAGCTCAAACGTACAATTCAGCAAATGCGAAGGCAGAGCTGAATGTCTACATCAGCAATGCCAATGTGAGGACCTCGTCAGCACTCTGACACTCAGCACTGCATCAGCAACAGCCTAGAGGCGAGGTCAAGGCCTGGAGATTGTTGTGAAACTTTATCAAGGAGAAACAATCAAGAAAATATTTTGTCTGTTGATACAGTTGCTTATGTACATGTTATAGCTCTTAAATCTCTAAAGAAATTTGAGTCATTTTTTTTAAATATCTTTTATGCTTTGACCCATCTATTACTTCTTCATTTTATTGGCTATATTTTAAATCAGTGCACATTAAAATTAGTTTTTTGAAGTTCATTGTTGGTGATGGTGAGTTAATGTTGTTCAAAGGTTTATTGCGGACATTTTCCATTACGAATGTAAAAATTAATAAACAACGTTTCGGGATCTGGAATCTGATCCCGTCCTCAGGTGCAAAAAACTTAGCTTTTTGACTGCTGCCCTCTGTAGTGTATTCCAACTTAGGTCGTGCGTTTGTGTATTGTTAGTTGTAATGTGTTAGTTAATTTTTGTTCACCTGAGGACGGGATCAGATTCCAGATCCCGAAACGTTGTGTATTAATTTTTTCGTGATGGAAAATGTCCGCAGTAAACCATTGAACAACATTAAAATTGTTGTTAAAAATTATGTTCACACGAACTAGTCTGTAAAAATATAATGTTTAGGTCTTAGTAGTAGACTCTAACTAGCTTTGAAATGGCATATATTTTCGAAAGAGTATTGGTGCAAAATCTCTAGATAGTATGGTAAAAATAAACCGAAAATCAACCAAGTTGTAACCTCCTGTCAGCAATTTCAGGTTCCCAAAAGCTCAAAATACATCGTAAATTAAGGGT